ACATGAGTGAAATCACCATTCAGAAATTTCAGGAACCTACAGTCTAAAGCTGCCTACAGTGCATAGCAATGGTTGCTGCTCTGTTACTGCAGTTAAGAGAAAGTCTGGTAGGCATTGCTGATAATGAAACTCAAACTCACTTGTTCAGTTGTGGCTAAAGAGCAGATTATGCAGTCTTTCTCAAATTACCCACTACGGAATTATGCCTTCAATACACAATAAGAAAATAAGTTGTTTTAGAAACTGAAATTTAATTAATTATGCTTACCTTTGACTCCAGAGTTTGTGAGGGCAAGCGTGTGCTCAGCTGAGGTTAGCACAAGCACCAAAATGTGACTATCTTTATACTTGCTATCCTGTGTTTCTATATTAAGGTTATGTGTTTGTTCCGCTTTCTGTTTGCTCATGCATATTTTTTTTATGTTTGTGCATTAAACTTCTGTGTGTCTGGCTGTGTGTGTGTCTATGCAGAGTATGAGTTAGTGCGCATGCATCATCGGGCACCGTCTTGAATTTCATGACATATGCAGATAAGGATATCCCCAACTGTCTCTTTCCATCTCTGGCACACTGGTGACAGCACTTGTGGGATATGGCATTTTCACTGCTTCATTCATGGAAAGAATTATCTTTTGGACATTTAGAGATTTTTATTGTATTTAATTTTTTACTTAAGCACAAAGCATTAGTCAATCCTTTGTTCCTGGAGCCTGCTTAGTTTCAGTGCAGCATTGTGAAAGCTAAACAAACTTTAAACCAAACTTAATATAGAATACAGTACTTGACCAAAAAGGTGTAGGCTGAAGCTTATCATAGATTATTATGCCTACCCTACTCACTCCAACAGTTCCTTTATCAACCAGTGTATACTGTACATAATTCCTATAAAAATTCTAAATAAATACATAAAACATATACAAACCTAATAATACCTACTCACCATCATACATGTGCATACATATACACATACATAGAGTACACATACTGTATGTGTGCGTGTGTACATGCATATACCATACAAACATACAGTACATATATACATGCATTTGCCTAAACACATACTTAAATCACAGTTTGTTATTCACCTAAACATACTGTATAGATATCAGTCTGACACATCTAATCATTGCACCTATTACTGTATAATAAACAATTCAACTTTTATTTATTCTCAGTATGTATTTGTTATAGGAAGAGTGGAACTGCAGAGGTGGGTGATAAACCTCTGAGAGTTCATCACTACATGCAAATATATGCAGGTGTGACACCTTTCACCTACTCTTGGAATATGCCCTTCAGGATACTGTGACAGCTGTTAGCCATACTGAGTTTGTGTGTTAATATTAAAAAAGAGAACTTCAAATTTCATGGCAAAAAAAAAACAATAAAAATGTAACTATTGAACTTAAAATTTGCAACTTCAAATTTAACTTACTCCAGCTTTGGCAGGAATTCATTTTACTTCATCACAACAAAAATATAGGAGTGAGACCTGTCACAGTATATGCAGTCGTTTCACCATTTTTTAATTAAAAAATATTGATTACAGCAGTTACAAGTAAAACAAATGTTGAAGTCACGATCATCTACCTAGCAAGTGAATTCAGTTTGTATGTTTGTATCCATGGTACCTTTAGTAAGACTGCTCTGAAGCAAACACTAATATTTAACCACCAGCAGTTGACAGTTTCTCCACTAGGTGGTAGCATAGATTAAAGATAAGGAAACCACCAAAAAGCTCCAATCCATATATATTACTTTTAAGACTTTTTTAAAAAAAGTAGGCAAAAACCTCAGCCATTTGTGATACACTGACGTTAACACAGACCCCAGTGAGAGTGAGAGAGTATTTTCATAACAACACTTGAACACCTGCTCCAAACTACTGCAGTCAAAACAAAGAGGACTGTATGCTCAATATACTGTATTAGAGTTTGAAGAGCAGTTTTCCGAGACCTTTAAGTAGGGAAAAGCTATTATCAACATGGTGGTCGGTTAGGATGATCTGCCTGTAACAGGATTTAAGTCCTGGTGTTATTTAAGTTTATAGTAACTTGATCCAGGTTATAGTTATGGATTCCTTTATCCCTCT